GTAATATTTGATAGATTTGTAAGTGGCGTACATTTGTGGGTAATCCTAATGTCTGGGTGAAACCCTATTCCCAACTACTTACGCAAGCCTTACCTTAACCATTTTGTATGGCCAGGGTGTCTTCAATACCCATGAAGTCTCTCTCCTCCTCAAAAACCTGCTCTAGGAATGCTGCATCGCTTACAATGTTCTCGTGACTTAAAACACGAACCTGGCAGCCAGGAGACATGCCCAGTTCCTGGCTTTACTCCAGCCGCACATCAGTCAGCTCTGCTGGCTACCAGCCGCCGATGCGTGTAGCTGGTGAAACTCTGTTCGCTGACACTCGAAAACATCTGTTTTCATCTTTATTAAATCCACTGATTGAGAGTTAGTAATGCTATCAATGTTTCTTTGCTCATATTGATTCAAAAGCTTCTTCCATGTAGTTCCAGTTTTTCTTTGTGTAGCTGTTTTACCTTTGTGTAGCAGCTTCCAGTCTTGCTGGAAAAATCCCTTGGATTTTTTTGCATCACTCTCCCTTTTGGTCAGGAGTTTCAGGACTCTTGTTTGGTGGTGTGTTTTGGCTTTTGTTTGTTTGTTTTTCTTTCCCAATTGAACCATGTTCCTTTTTTTTTTTTTTTTTTTTTTTGACTGTTATGAATTCAGATGTGTTTTTTGACCTTTTCATTTCCTAAGAGTGTAGAGGGGATTATAGGGGTAGCGATAACCTGTGTGTATGCTTGCTGGGGCTTTTTTGCTGATGTTTAACAGTATGCAGTAATAAAATAAGCTCATGTTGTTCGGAAACCAAATAGTGTCAACCAAAACATCTTTTTACATAAGAACTTTGACTGTTATGAATTCAGATGTGTTTTTTGACCTTTTCATTTCCTAAGAGTGTAGAGGGGATTATAGGGGTAGCGATAACCTGTGTGTATGCTTGCTGGGGCTTTTTTGCTGATGTTTAACAGTATGCAGTAATAAAATAAGCTCATGTTGTTCGGAAACCAAATAGTGTCAACCAAAACATCTTTTTACATAAGAAGATAAGCAAGGACTGATCTATATCTCATGCTTTCTCTTGAATCCTAAGCCTGTTACTCATGGGCAGATCGACGGAGAAGAAAACGAAGCAGTCTTTTAGACATATATGAAATAAGGCACAAAGCAACCTTTAATTAATCCCTTAATTTAAGGTAAATACCTGCTTCAGAATTGGAATTAGAGTAGAACAGTAGAGGAATATGGGGAATCCTGAGCATGTGTCTTGTGAATGGCACTTTCTGAAGAGACTCTGGAAGGAAGGTCACTACAGCCTTTTCCACATAGGTTGAAAGTCTTTGCTAAATCCTCAGAAAAGACAAGATAAACCACTTTAGCCTGTCTCTGATTTGTCTTCCTTACTTGCTGTTGGTGAACTGTCATATAAGCATGTCAGTTAGGTTTTGGTTTTTTTTAATATGTAATTGCTGAGAGATATTGTGGAGTTCCTTTATTAACTTTAACTAGGCCAGGTGAATAAGAATCAAATATTCTTCAAAGAGTAGCGTTGTTGAACCTGGTCAGCACTGGGATTTTATCTGTTAGCAGAAATGGAGTTCTTTATGGAATATTGACTAGCCTTTTTACAAGATTAGAAATTTTCTGGTGAGGACAGTATTAACCTAAGTCATGAATAAAGATGTGTTCTATATCCAAAGAGAAATACCTGCTATGATAGTGTAATTCAGTGATTGGTTTTCTCAAGGAGCATGTAAATTCTTTGTTCCTCGTTCAGCATTTTGTGGCAGTTTTGCATTTGAATAATCTTCAGTTTTGCATGAGGTATGGCAGAAGGGGTCTACTTACATTTTAAAATATGGATAGAGATGGTGCATGCAAAATTCCTATAATTCTCAAAACATGGTTTAAAAGAATATCATCTTGTTTTGCTCTTTGAACAGGTAAAACAGCTCAGCATGGTAATTTTATAGATAGTGAGAAGTAATTAACTAGTAGAGGCAGAAATTTCCTAGAGCTTTGAATGTATCATGGTGATGAAATGTGATTAATTAGGGCTAGTGATAATTATAATAAACTTGAGCAATAAAATCATGAGTATTAGAAGTCTTCAGACTCCTGTACTCACATTCTTAAGCTGGAATTTTCATCTATTTTGTTCTTAGGTTTGAGATTTTTGTTGTTGTTTCTTTTGAAGGAAATAGTAAGTTTGCCTCTGGTTTTTTTAGATTGCTTCCATTTGGTTTTGGCAAATGGTGTCCTTCTTTTCTGAATAAGCAAAAGTGGGTGGAATATGTGATTCTCTGTACTTTGACATAAAAGACTTTATAGAGCTTTCTTGAAGTTATTTAATACTGGGAGGTTGTTCTAGGCCTCTGCAAATGTATGACTTTTCCAATAACCTGGTATGGTGGGTTTGACCTTGGTCGGACGCCAGGTGCCCACCAAACCACTCTATCACTCCGCCGCCTCAGCTGGTCAGGGGAGAGAAAAATGTGATGAAAAGCTCGTGGGCTGAGATAAGGACAGGGGGAGATCACTCACCAATTACCATCACGGGCAAAACAGACTCGACTCGGGGAAATTAATTTAATTTATTACCAATCAAATCAGAGTAGGATAATGAAAAATAAACCCAAATCTTAAAACACTTCCCCCCACCCCTCTCTTTTTCCTGGGCTCAACTTCATGCCCGATTTGCTCTACCTTCTCCCCCTCGAATGGTGCAGGGGGACGGGGAATGGGGATGGCGGTCAGTTCATCACACGCTGTCTCTGCTCCTCCTTCCCCCTCAGGGGAGGACTCCTTGCACCCTGCCCCTGCTCCAGCGTGGGGTCCCTCCCATGGCAGACAGTCGTCCATGAACTTCTCCAACGTGAGCCTTTCCCATGGGCTGCAGTTCTTCACAAACTGCTCCCGCGTGGGTCCTTTCCCTGGGTGCAGTCCTTCAGGAACAGATTGCTCCAGTGTGAGTACCCCGCAGGGTCACCAGTCCTGCCAGCAAACCGTCTCCAGAATGGTCTCCTCTCTCCACGGGGCCACAGGTCCTGCCAGGAGCCTGCTCCAGTGTGGGCTTCCCACGGGGTCACAGCCTCCTTTGGGCATCCACCTGCTCCGGTTTGGGGTCCTCCACGGGCTGCAGGTGGATCTCTGCTCCAGCATTAACCTCCATGGGCTGCAGGGGGACAGCCTGCCTCACCGTGGTCTTCCCCAGGGGCTGCAGGGGAATCTCTGCTCTGATGCCTGGAGCACCTTCTCCCCTCCTTCTTCAGTGACCTTGGTGCCTGCAGGGTTGTTCCTCTCACATATTTTTACTCCTCTTTCTGGCTGCAGGTGCGCAGTTTTTCCCCCCCCCCTTCCTAAATAAGTTGTCAGAGAGGTGCTACCACCGTTGCTGGTGGGCTTTGCCTTGGCCAGCGGTGGGTGCGTCTTGGAGCCAGCTGCAATTGGCTCTGTTGGACAGAGGGGAAGTTTCCAGCAGCTTCTCACAGAAGCCACCCCTGTAGCCCCCCCACTACCAAAACCTTGCCACACAAACCCAATACACGTGGCAACTTACAACACAAAAATCAATGATTAGACTTTGTGAGCCTGTGCTAGAAACACTTGGAGTGTAAATGGGAAGATAACTGTGCAATGAGTTGTGTTGATTGACTTGTATTTTTCTTTGGTGTTTGTTTTTCATGTTTGTTTTAAAGCCATAGCTTTAAAGAAAGAAGAAAAATAGTTTCACCCCTTTTGAACATACAGATGATTTCACCCCTTTATGCTAGAGGTCTTGACATATTCAGAGTCTTTTCTATTGGCTGTCACGCTGGTGTGATTACACAGCAATACATACTCCCTGTGAGCTGGGTAGTAATGGAAATATATTTCATCATCTTTCATAATCCTTAGTAAGCATTCTGGTTTTGTTATGAAGCAGTAAGTTCGTGGCTCCCACTGATGTCACATGGCAAAACGAGAATCCAGGGTTGGTAACTTTGGTCTTGAAGTTTTCATATTCAAAAATGATGATGTCGTCGTTGTTGTGGTCTGAGTTCCTGAAAAAGGTGTTATGGAAACTTCATGACAGTTTTCCTCAAAATAAACAAATAAAAAACCCAAGCAAAACCTTTTTAAAACTCCAGATTTTTGTGAACTTAAAAATGCTGTGTTACAGCAATTTTTCATGAATTGATTTTAGAAATTTGGTATGTAGATTACTGCATTCATGTGCAAGTTTATGCAGTACATAAAGTTTGTTTGTGGATCTCATGTTACTTGTTATCGTTGTTATTTTTTATTGCTGCTATTTCTAGTCCCTTGAAGAATAACCAAGAAAACGTCTCTGTAGTGCAAGGCACCAAACATACACAAAGAGGTCCCATTCTGTACAAGACCTGTGCCAGTGACCATGGGCAAGCTGGATGTGCAGTAGTGGCAGTGCACGAGAGCACCCAGGCCCAGGGAATTCAGTAACAGCAGCAAACAGGGGTGAAGTGGATGAAATGTAAGATTCAGGTGCAGGGATGAATAGCGCGAATGTAGAGACAAAAAGGCCATGGGAATAGAGGTGGAATAAAGTTTCTTTGTGAAATCTATTCAAAATTCTAAACAGTCTGAAAATCCCAAAGCGTTGTTTCTCTGGTTGGATCTTGTTTGTGACTGCACTTTTTCTCCAGAATGGGTAATTGAGTTTGAAAGAGATCCCTAGGCTAGGATGGTCCCATTTTATTTTCCCTACTATGGTGGGTTCTGTATTTCTTCAGGCTAGTGCTACACAGTTGCACAAGGGAAGTTTCAATTTTATGCTTCATATGTCGGTGATTTTAGTAGGTTTTTTTCCTGTTTGGTTTTTTCTTGCTTTTAAAGTTGTAATATATCTTCAAAACTATCAATGGTAAATATTATGTTTAATGAAAAATATATACATATTTTTTGTTCTACTTTCCATCTTTTATCGTTAACTGATTTTTACTAGGAACTTTTCAGAGGAAAAAGAGGATTCAAGTAATGGCAATGTATTCCCTCTACAGGATTTATGAACGCATCATTGATCCCCCAGAAATGAATTTGACACCTGAAAGTAATTTATGGCTCGGACAGAGAAACAGGAAGCACGGTTTCTTTAAGGTAAGCAGATAAGAAATGATACATGAAGAAGGAAATGAATAAATAGTCAGCAAGATATTTCTCATTAGTTGTCTTACACTCCTGAAATCTGATCTGTATGAATTTTAGTAGAAACTGCGGACTTGGGATTTGAGGTAGGTCCAACACTTAAAGAAAAGGGTCTCTTCCTGCAAGGTAGAGTATCGTAGTCGCTGACTGCAGTGCCCAGTATTTGGGGGTTTTGTTTGGTTTCCTTACCTTAGGTTTCACCTGCCTGCTGTGCTCTGCCTTGCCACTGCTGGGGACAGAACGAGACTGTGTAGGCAGTGTGAGAGTCCTTGGCTTTCATCTTTAAACCTTCACAAAACAACAGCTTTGCTGTGGTCTCCTGGCCAGACAGTGGTGGCCTTAATTTCTCCCGGAGGCCATTTCCTCCTCGATTTTACATGCAGAATACCCTCACCCTGCTGCTGTTTGCCTCCCGTGAGTCTTCCTTGTTTGCCCCTGTCAGCATTGACTTCTAGAGCAGAGAAGGTCTTCTGGCCTGTGACCCTTCCAGCTTTGGCAGATACTAGCTATTGTATGCAGTGCATTTGCCTTGCCGCAAACCAGTAGCTTTTTCTATTCCTGGAGTACCTTCCTTTCTATTTTTCTCAACTAAGCATGTCACTGTGTTTCTCAACAGAGTGAATAGCTGGTCACCTAGTTTTGTTCATAAGCTTCTTTGTCCGTCAGAGCTTCCTTTGCTACCAAACAGCCCAGGCTGAAAGGCTGGCTTGCTGGCCGGACTCGAGCTGCTCCTGCCTTCTAGCTGGAAAGCCTATCTTTTTCCATTTATGAGGCTCCCCAAGACAGCATCATTAGGTAGACTAACATGGGCATGAGGAACTTTTCAGAGGAAAAAGAGGGTTCGAGTAATGGCAATATATTCCAGATTCAGTTAATGGCAATATATTTCCAAAATTGCAAAGGATAGAGAAACAACCTACAACTTGAAAAGCCCTCTCCTATATGTTTTCTTTCAGCTTTTTTTGGCCCCTGGTGAGGCCATATGATTTTCTGGTGGAGGCTGAATTGCTGAACCAACCGACAAACAAAATCCACCAACAAACGAAAACCACCCCCCTCCGCCTGAAAATTCATTCTTTTACTTTGTAAGCAAACTACAGCAAAGTTTCTGATAGTTCTTCCAGTTTTTGGGTAAGAAGCCATGGTGCAGCTGTTTATCAGTGGAAGAGTCTATAGAGCAGTGATAGGCCAATCTGCCTGTCCTCAATATTGGCATGGATTGGTTGCCAGAGCGATTTACCACCCACTCTGTTTCCCTTTGAAGCTGTCAGTTCACAAGACAATTTTAAAAGATGCTGTTTTTCTGAGGACCTCTCCTCGAAGTCCCCAGATTTCAACAAGCTAAGACAATTATTTATGCTAAAAATATTAAAGCATAGCAACTAACAATTTTAATTGTGAAACAGAGGTAAAAATCTAACTTTTAACTTAAATGACGGTCTGAGAGTTGCTCTGAACCTAGGGTACGTTTCATCCTCCAACAGCTGAGCTGCCACTGTGAAGTGAAATTGATAGTATTATTTTATTCTACAGCTGTTGTTTTTTTACCTCAGCTGCTTCCCATAATTCCACAGATGGTAAACATATGTTTATAGCTACATAGGAAAAAAATAAGTTATATTGGATTCGCCCATCTTAAATTCTTGTTTTATGCAGGCAGTCAGAGCCTCAGAACTCTGGGATATTAGATGTTTGTAAATTAATATTTCTATGTGTTAACACTTTGGAAACAGCAGGGTAGCTAATGATATGCTAATGAGCTGAGAGTTTTTATTGATCATAATGAAAGCCGACAAGTGCCTTACTTGGCTTTATGCATGCTTGAATATTTTACTAACTTTCTTCAGGGCAGAAATATAATTGGTTGCATTTTTTTTAATCCTGCTTGAGACTTTCAGAAATCTTACTTTTTTTAATGTTACTCATTGCAAAAACTTTGGATTTTGCCAGTTTGTAAAGAGTACACATCTCTCTCCATATATTTACATGCTCAGCAGGACCTCCCTTTCTTTTTCAGAGCAATTTCTTTCATTGTTTTAGCATATTAAAAAATAGATCTATTTTCCTTGATGTAAACAGAGATCAGCAGGGAAATAAGAGCGTTAAAAAAGAATTGGCATTTTTGTATGTGTGTTGGAGCCATGATAATGTGTGTAACAAAAAGCACTGAATGTTCTGAATATCATACATATACCATACTGTTCTGAATATCATATTTGCCATTCCAAAAATTTTTTTACTTTAGTGATGGTTAATTAATTGCTGTGTCTCTCCATAAATGAATAGCATTAAAGCACATTTTGGGCCATATTGTCGTGCCTATTTTAGGTCATAATTCTTCAGTATATCAGAAGAGGAAGGAAGGGTTATGATATTCATAAGTCACTGTGGCCAGTTGTTGCCAATTTTCTCATTTATGCTTTTGTTTCACATGCTTACTTACAGTGATTATTCCACAAGTAGCCCTGCTGTGTCTGTGGCCTTGCTGGGGAATGAAGTGCTCTATGGCATAATCAAGGGAGTTGAAGTCTTGCCCCTTGCAACTAGTATCTCTTACTAGTTGTAACTTACCTGCTACGGCCAAGCATTTGGAGTTCAGACAGGATGGAATGGTTTTAGCACAGCAGCAGCGGGAGCAAAGGCGGAGCAGACTTAAGACAGCTTTATCTGTTTGCTTTGAAGGGAATCTCAGGAATTACTTCCTTCAAAAAATACATGCTGACCCTTCAGGTTTCTTTGTGTGGCCCAAACCCAAGATTTGTTTTAGGGCTAGAGAATACCATTCTAATCAGATTAGGAAACCAAAGTAAATGCAACTGAAAGGAGGAAGGAGGGTGATACCAGACATCCAAGAACCCTCACTCTGGGATGGATCTGATTGCTGTCAGGATCAGAATTATTTGCAAAATTAATTTTATCGCTGGGGAGAACCCTTCCCCCTCAGGCTCCCTCCAAAGAGCTGCTGCAGAAATGAGCTTATTAATGCGTTGCTGACTAGGTGATTTATGTCGAAAGATGGTAATTTTCATATCTGCTATAGTGGGCTCTATTGATCCTGCTGCTGTGTCTGGGGATTGTATTGTAGGTGCTTGAGAAGTATATTGGTATTTTTACTGCACAGCATCATATGTATACTTGAGCCTCTGTAGTCGTGTTGGTCTCGGAGTCGTACAGACTGAGGCGAGGTAAATACAGTGCCAAGGGCAGCTGGTCAGGCGCCTGGCACGGGGCATGCCTGTCCTGTGTAGGGGAGCACAGTGCTGATCTGGCGGTGTTGGCGTAGTATTGCCTAGGCATGGGGTTTCGGGCACATCTGCTGGTGCCTCCGTGCAGAGCCTTTCACGGCCCTGGCTGATGCAACTGGCACAGCTGTGTGGCACGCGTTGTCTCTGTGGGAGAAGTAGGTTTTACAGAGGGTGAACGGCAGTGGAGGAAATGAAAATGCAGAAGTGGAGAGCTTATGGAATATATGAGCCTTTTCACGGAATGTGGGAGGAGTCCTCTATTTAATAGAGACATGAGAAGTGCAATAAACAGGGTTTTTGTATTACATCCTCATGGGATGGGCTTGATATTTAGTGCTGCAGGCCTGAATTTAATCTTGTAGCTGGTAATCTGCCTGCACAGATGAAGGCTCTTCAAGCTAGTGAATCCTGATACTGAACTGAAGCTTTGGTTGTAATTAGCCAAATGCTTAAATGATAACATAGAGGTGATGTCTGCTTGGGAAAGGCGAAACCGTGAAGATATTGACCACTGACATCTCCCTGTCAAGGCCAAATCCTGGTGTCGTTTCACAGAATGTGCACTGAAGAACTCCACCCTGTGCCAAAGTGAACCAGAGCCCTTGGCTTCCCGTGGAGAGCTGTGCACGTTTAATTCTCCTGGCTGTGGCTGTAGAAAGCTCTCGGCAACCCAGACTTAATGCTGAAGGAGGAATAGTCCAAGTTTGTTTGTATGTGTTACAATAATTATGGCTGTAATAAGGGTTTGCCTGTAACGAAATCTTTCTATTAAAAAACTACATCAGCGAAATTTCTGGTCTTTGAAGATTCACTTCTGTATTTGATCATATTAAATCTGTTTCAGAGGGTCTATAGACTTTATAGAAGGCATCTATACTGGTGAATTGAAGTTCATACATTTTGCCATGGTAACATGCTTTAGTGTAGCCAGAAATTAAGACACAAAAAATAGTTGTGTTTCCTCTTCAGGTTGTATTTAAATGCAAATCTATCCAAAAGACAATTGAGGGGTGGGCCTCTGATGCAACAAAGGCATTTGAAGTTCAATTTGCACTTCTAAAAAGAAGGCTGAGGAAACCGTCACTTCTCTCTGGCTGATGTGTTGTTAGCTGTGCAATATGGTCTGGTGAAACTTTGTAATCTCATTTACTCTCTTGGTTAAGCTTTTCGCTGGAGAGGCTTAAGCATTGAAATATATTTTTGTGCTGCACCTTCTAGTTTCTCACTGATGACTGCTAGCAGAAAGTATATAAAATGGCTTTCAGGATGTTCCTTTTCCAGTGACAGTATTACTTCTCATTATTATGATGGTTTCATTATTCTCACAGATGAAAAGGTTAATAAATGTCTATACTTTTGCAAGAAAGACAGCGTGATCTGATTATGTCTATTAGTATTTTCAGTTAATGTTTGATCATGAAACAGTGCTTGCTGATTACCTTCTGCTGTTTTAGCAAATGAACACGCAGACGTTAAATGTTATTTACTGTATTCACCAGGCTTCAAGGGCTATATGAGGTCTGTATTTTATTTACGGATGGAGTTCAATGTTTTGAGCAAGCAACTATGTCCTTGGACTGCAAAATTCACTTTATTGCAATTTAACTAAAAATTAAAACATAGTCTTACAAATCAGTTATTTAATTAGATAATAACTGCTGCGATGACAAATTTCCTTTCAAATTAAAGAAATTCTTCTGCGTCTGGGAGGAGATAGAGCAATGTCACTACATCTGATTAACAGTCAGGGGAAGCGCAAATAGCAGCAGCAGAAGTCTCTTGCTTTCCCTTGCTCTTCCCCCTTAGTGACCGTGACATTGTTAAAGCTCATGGATCTTGTGGAGTAAGTATGTTACAGAGGCAAAGATGGAGCAAGAGCTTTGTACTGAGCTTAAAAGAGCAAAGACAAGCTTCAGCGTTTTCTAGGCTATTTGAAGGATTTAGGGTTGTTCAGGAGCCAGGTGTGCAGGGATACTGGGCGACCCTTCGTGTCTGCTCCTTCCGTCGGGGATATCCTTGCAAGTCGGGGATAACGGAGGGTGCAGTCGGCACCGGACCTTTTGGTCCTTCCTCTCTCCTGTCCTGCCCGGTTCAATTTCTGGGGCTCGTACTACCTGCACTAGCTGGCTCTGACTGTGGAGTCCTGATTCCTGCCAGTCCTGCATAGGGGATCTTTCCATCTGTCTGGGTTAGAGGGAGGATTTAATTCTAACGGATGGCAGGATTACATGAACTGCCTCTTGTGATACTAAGCTAGTAGGCTAAACTAAACCAAACAACTGAAGTATAGACTCTTACTTACCTCTTGCACTATATACTTCTCATAATGTTTGATTTCACAGTCTTATTTGCCTAAATCACTAAAGAGTACTGCTGTGTTTTCTTTTTGTCTTTTAGCAAAGTGTGTCATAGGCTTGAATAACGGATATTATTTCACTGCTTTTTCACCAGTCTCATCCCATTTTAAGACATTTAAGCAGCTTATATTTGGCAATTGCAAAACACAAAGCAGTATTATTTCTGCGTTCTATGAAAATTAATATCCAAACACACAGGAAGGTAGAGAGGAGTAGTTTTTATATTTTGTCCATCTTCAGTTGGACAAAATATTCTCCTCACGAGAAGAGTGAGCTGGTCAATTTTTTGTACCCACTTAAGAGACTTGTGAAACAGCTTGTACAGATCTAAGCGAATGCTTGTAAACTGTATTACCAATTTTCTCTTCTTTTACAAAGGGTGTTATTCAGGATGTGAAAATCATCTTTATACCTAATGGATATATAATGCAGTGTCCTAATCTGAATCGCAGTAAGTAGCAATTTCTTTATTTTCTCTGTTTTAGATTTTTTTCATACAAATTATTTCTTTGCTTTAAAAATAATATTTTCAAGCTTGTCATTTTTGCATGTGCTGACTTCCAGAAGGCAAAAATTCTGTGTAAACAGCTTGCATTTTATGTTCAGATAACCAGTATTATATCAGACTTGATTTATTTATGGGTTATTGTGTCTTTCCTTCTCTTCCTTTTCCTTTTCTCTTTACTATTCCTTTTTTGAGCATGCCCGACCTGCAGTGATTTCTTAAGTCTGGTGCAAGGAATCATGGATTTGCAAGAACTCCTGGCAAAAATGACTGCAAAAGTAGGTACCTAAGCTTCTTTGTCAGTTACCCATTTCCTTCTGTGCTAAGACCAACATGAAAGTATTTATTCCTTATGCAATTATTCTACATTTTCATGGTACGGCCATTTTTTTTTCCTCCTTCTGCCAGTAGCCCTATCTGCAGTGGACTTACAGATACAGCTTCACGGATGTCACTTAAACCTCATACAGTTTCTATTGTCTGCTTTATTATTTGTAAGATAGTGACAAATTGCCCAGGGTCTGATTTATTTTTTTTTTTTTTTTTTTTTTTTTTTTTTTTTTTTTTTTTTTAAGAAGCCTTAGCATGATTTCCCTTTTCATGCTGAGGAATAAATGCAGAAACAAAGGAGTGAAATCCCTCCACAATTTCCTCACCATGTGATGCTGTCAGAGGGCGTGTGTTTGCCTGTGGGAAGTCCTGTGAAGTCTTCAGGACTGGCGTAGTCTCCTTCCTGGGAATTGAAATGAGGCCCCAAAATGGAAATGCCTGTGAAGCTGCCGGCTGTGCTGATCTTGACATCACCTTTGATAAATGGTTTTTACCAGTGTAAAAGTTAACCCAGCTCCAGGTGGTGTGGTGTGTGCTTGATTTTTTTGTTTGTTTGTTTTTTCTCCCCCCTGCCCTCCCAGTTTGGATTGTGAGTAGGATGAATGGGAAGCTATAGTGTTTTGGTATTTTTTTTTTTTTTTGGGATTTTGGAGATTTTCTTTAGGCTCTGCTCCCACAATACACAGTCAACCTCTGTGTCAGCCAAGGCCCTTCAGCTGAGGCTGTGGTCAAGTTCTGGGGTAGGAAGGTGTGTTTTAGAGGTGACTGAACCCCTGATGTGTGTTTAAAGGGTGAGCTGTGAACGCTTTTTGAGGTTAATGTTGGTGAACCATCTGGTCTGTGGTAAAGGGCAATTAATTGTCTCCTCTGAAACGGCACTTATGCGTTAATTACTTATAGATTTCAATGCAACTACAACCAACCTGTAGATGCCTTCAATCTCAATGTAGTTACCAAACGGGAATTTCAAAAATAGGATTTGCAGAATAGCGCTACTAGCATAAAAGCATTATACTTTTGACTGTGCTGCCTTTAAGTGTGCTTTTCCTTCCTAATAGGAAAAGGGAAACTTTGTTTTTAGAGAGTGTGCGCATTATGCTGACAATCCACTTACTCAGCTGACACGCTTTGGACAGGCTGACTCTGAATGTGAAATGTGAAGCTTTTAGTTCAGTTTGCTGGTTGTACTGTGAAAGAGAGGCAATTATTTTGAGCCCTGCTGGTGGTATGAGCAAGTTCCAATTATGCACTGTACTGAGTAACTTGCTTTCTCTGCTGTTAATTATATTTTTGCTTGCTAGTAGTTTATGAGGGGAAGCAAATAACACAGTATTTGTACTGCAAAGACTCCGTGCTTCCATAAAGTGGTGCTGGGATAATCCTTCGTTGCAAGTTCCTTTTCTGTTGTAGCAGTGCACTGACTGTTTCATTGCAGTTGTTACAGAAATATTGTTGTCCAGGAAAAATGCTTGCAGCAGGAAAGGAAGTTAATTTGGTAGACAAATGGAAGTTAAAAATGGAGGGACTTGAGGGAAGCATTAAGGTTTGTATCTGCCTTTTCTGTCCTAGCCACAGTAGCCACAAGTGGTACTAATGTAGATACAAGTATATCATACGGGGATGATGCAAGGCAAAGAGCAAGGCTTAGAAGGGCCATGCCGCTGCCTGCAGAGATCCTGTTTAGCAGGGCAGGTGGTCAGAGAACGGCTTGCTAACGTACATGAGCAATGAACCCCAGCACCTGGTCCTGCACCAAAAGATGCGGAGCATGAACTTGACATTTTGGAAAAGCGGGCCCCATGGTTTGGTGTCCACTTGTTCCTTTTAGGCTCCGCTATATCTAGGATTTCAGCTTCTCCTTCAATCTCTGTTTGGTTAGAGCTGTATTACAGCACTGAATACACCAGTGAATGTTGTTTGTGGTGAATGTGTACGTGCAGTTTGTATAACGTAAAACTATGAAGACTCAGACCAGGGCTTGTCTGAGAAGAAAACATCAGACTAGTGGCTTCAGGCTCCAGTAATTTTGGTAACAGTGCAAATTCTGCAGTACGTAGGCAGGAGGAGAGAGCCCTCTTGCTTGGGCTTTACCTCAGCGTCCCGTGAGGCCAGTGCTGGCTCGGGGTGGGACACAGGGGCTCTAGAAGGGACCCAGCAGAGCATTGTCTACCGCAGATTGTCATGGCGTGCTATGCACAGGAGCATTTGATCATGACCTGTAACAAGCTCACCACTGTTATGTCCTCTTCCTACTGATGTCTTGTAAGGACATATCTTTTAAAGATGAATAAATGCTAGCTTTTAAAGCCTATTTTATTTTTGTCATCATTTGAATTAATTCTGTGAATCTTTCTGGTATATATGTTTAATTGATTTAATCTTGTGTCCTTAAATAGAGAGATACCATAGGGCAGAGTGGTAGAAATCTGGCTAAAATGTTGATGTGCTGCAGGAGAAAAGGATCCTGTTATATTTCAGCATTTCCAACTGCCATGCTGCAATGCTGTTAGTTCCTCTTTAAATATAATGGCTAAAGTAGTTCATGCAACTTTAACAATTTACTGAAATCAGTCTGGGTATCTCCTGCATTTCTTTGAGTGGAATATAATTTCTTTTTGGTAAATTATGGGCTCAGACTAGGATGTGCTTTATATTCAGATGTGCTTGTTACATGAAGACTTCAGCACAAAACTTTCTACTGAATCTTTGCCTGGTTGAGTTCAGAAAGGCTGAAGCTTGAGCTTGATTAAAACCAAGAAAAATCAAGCTCTTGAGTTCATTGATGGACTAGTTAATCTCTTTTGTTTACATAATGGATTTATATGGCTGTGAATACTTCTATGATTACAAAATTTTCCATGTAAATTTTGATAGTTTTGGGGGCTTTTTTGATATTTTTTTAATTAGTTTTGCCAGAAACAATAAATTTTTAACAGAAGTCTGTCATCTTTCAGTTATTTGTATGGGCAGAGGAGAAGCAAGGAAAGCGTTAGATAAGTTTTGTGAATAATAACTAGCCAAATATTCCTGAATGCTAAGAACTTAGGATTCGGTTAGTATATGGAAAATGTTTGGTATGGTGTGGGCTTCTTCTCCCTCATTAGTTTATTTCTATTCATAAGCTAAAAAATGTTTGAAGCTTGAGAATTTTCTACTGATGTTTTAAATGTTCAACAGATCTAGTGTGCATTTAGCAACATTTGGAAGGATATTTCATCTAATTTTAAGGAATTCATTGTTTTATTGAGCTCAGTAGAAATTTTTCAATCAAGGCTTGAAGTTTAGAAACAAATGGAATGTTTCTGGTCACTCTAGTACAGCAGGTAACAGTTAAATGTTGTTTCTGAGCAGATTCTGTGGGCAGTGATACATTCATTGACCTCTGTGTATTGGAGGGTTTGTTGTTGCATGCCTTCCGTCTGGTGATCTACTTGATTGATCTGCTATGTTTAAAGGTATTTCTTAGAACAGGAGGTAAATGGTATTTAAGTAAATAAAACTTAAGATAATGCAAATGACAGAAAAAGGTAATAAATTGAAAATATTTATTTTCTTAAAGTTTTGTTCTTTTTCTAGGGAATAATTTCTAGGACAAAGGACAATATCAAGTACCACTATCAAATCTGGGTGTTTCTAAAGTCCTTTATCTCCAAAATTTGTATAGCCCATTTATATGGGAATGCTCATTAAAAAAAATACAAGATATGTAAATAAAGATGTGTAAGACAAATCAAACACCTTTTAAACAAAACTAAATATATTTTATATACTGTAAATATAATGGCTAAATATGATGACCTGAAAAGGGTTTCTGCTGAGAACAAGTGGCTCAGTGAGAGGATAGTTTTGCCTCTAAAATGTGAAAAGCTGTTTTGAAGTCCTCAGATCATGCTGAGTTTGGGGGAGATGAGTACCAATCCCCTATAATCCCAGAATAACAACTTAAGAAATAAAGAGCTTTTATTCAGGGCTTTCCCTCATGGGGACTGCAGAGAGAAAAAAAAATCACAGAAATTTTCTTCATATTTCTTTTCTTTTTCTTCCCCTTAAATATGTTGCTCTTCTACTGGCAGGAATGAAAAAGGATATATTAGAATACTTTCATTTAAAGTGGATGGAATTTTAGAGGATGGAAATATATGAAATTCAGGTATATGCCATTATGTAAAAAAATACTATAGCACCGTGCATTCTTTTTTTAATAAAATTTGCTACTATTAAAATGTAGCAACCTATAATGTAGGATAGTAGCATCATATTTATAACAGAATAGAATATGCATTCATCTTGTTTTGTGCCAGATTTAGGTAGCCTTGCTGTTTGCAGTGGCTTCAGCGTGATGGCTTATACGTACAAGACAAACGTGAATGTAAGAAAAATCAAGACCTTGAGAAACTCTCATCCAGCTGGCACTAGGGTAATTTTTAGAGCAATGGCAGTCTGAGGCCTGAAGAATGCACATATTTACTTCTAAATACTAAGTCTGTATTTCTTTATTTTTAGTATTAGTAAATGGGAAAGTCATTTTGAGTGCTCTTAGGGATTAGAGATGATGGCACTAGGTACAGGGTGTGCATAAATGGGGGTTGTTCCTCTCTAAAGGATGGTAAGATGGTACCTTGTACGAAGGGGACGTCTGTGATATGGCTTAGGAGAAAGTGGTTCAAAAAACCTTTTCCTTTTCTGGTGCTACATGAATGAGCATTGTCCCCACTTATTGTGTAGTATCTCATCAGTAAACATAGCAATTGCTAGCATGCAGATGTAATGCTTGGAAAAGCTGCATCAGTTTTAGCTTCTTGATAGGCATTTTAGGAGTTGGAATTGAGGAGGTAATGGGAACAGCAAGGAGCATTAAGAGCTAGCCACCAGCCCAGGGTTTACTCCAGAACATTAATCACACTCTGGGAATATTTTGTACTACGCTCAATTAAGATGCTTTCTTTCACCTCTGAATCCCACTTGCTATTATAAGGTTAAGACCTTTCTAAAAGTCAGAAAGTATTAGTCTGACTGATGTTTAGCAATGATGACATGGGGATGGTTAGGGAAAGTCATGCTTTTTGACGTGTAATCGGGTTGATGAGCAATTAAGACTTTTCTTTTTAAAAACAATTGTAGTTTGTGTACTGTTGGCAGTGCCTGGACATTCCTCAGAGGATCTCAGTGGGGTTTGTTACAGTACAAGAGACAGTTGTATGAGTCATAAACTGTTGTCAATTGACATGGATAGTTCCATCAAAGTCTGAGGAGTAGCATTGTTTTGTACCTGCTGACATCCTGGTTCAGTGTTTCGAAGGTTGTAGTCAAATTTGGTTCGGCTAAGAATAAGTATACTGCTTTCTCATATTTGCTTTTTTAAATCATGTGTTTGAATTGCAGAAATCTCATCAAGTTACTTTCATTTATAGTTAAATTATGCAGAAACAAGACTGAGTCAATTGGAAGACTGTCACTGTGAGAAGACTTGTCAAGTAAATGGATTGATCTATAGAGACAAAGACTCATGGGTCGAAGATGATCACTGCAGGAATTGCACTTGCAAAGTAAGAATTTCTAAAGGCTTTAAGGAGTAGGACCTAATTAAAATGTGAAAATGGTCCCTGAATACATAATGTTAACTTTGAGAATTATTATGTTTTTAGTATGCATCTAGTGGCAGTATGAACCAATAGGGAGGGAAATGGTGAAATAAATAAAAAATTGACATTTCTTATGCACAGGCTTCATAAATAAAATCTGTTTTCCCTTGACAACGCTCTCTTATTTGTTCTACTTATATCTGTGAGGACTTGACGGTTTTGGGGTGAAAGCGTGGCATTGTCTGTGTTTGGTTTGGAATTGTTTTCACTGTAGTAGTTTTTTAAAAAAGGAAGCATTATCTTAATAGTATTCATAGATGCTTAGCTGCATCTGGCATGGTAACAACATGCAGATTCTGTTTTCAGTGTTTATCACTGAAAAATCAAGGAACAGAAGAGAATTAGTATGTAAATCTTGTCTCGTTGAAATTATTTGATAAATATCTGAAGAGAGTCTTTGTTTGCTCAAGAAAATAGAAAACTGATTGTTAAAAATCTCAGAGATGATTGGCACAGCCTACAGAAAGTGATGCTTATGTTCTTGTAAAGATGGGCTTAGGTTTTCCACTTAATGCGCTTTGCTCAGGGAAAGTGGGGTAAAACCAGTAATATATATCAAAATGGGATAGTTCACCTTCAGATGCATTTTGATTCAAGTTCGCGGTTGGATAGGACTGAACTTGTTACTGTAGGATGGGCCTATGACCCACAATGCTATTTTTATTTACTTAAATAGTTTTCTGTCTTCCATGTTTTGTGTAAAAGACACATTAATTACAACAGTCGTAGTTGAGTTTTGTCTTAAAAATCTTTGCTTAGAGTGGAGCTGTGGAGTGCCGAAGGATGTCCTGTCCCCCTCTCGATTGTCCTCCTGATGCTCTCCCAGTGCATGTGGAAAGCCAGTGCTGCAAAATATGCAAGGGTAAGTACGTCACGTGGACCTCTTTAGTTTCACCCTCTATTTAAGCAGAGTTAAACTTGTCCTGAAAGCAGGCGCATTTTATAATGACTTTCGTATGTCCTGGTGATTCAGGTAACGTGAGGCACAGTGGCAAACTTGATTGGAAAGGAAAATAAATAATTACTGAGAAATGAACAAGTATTGCAAATTTCTAAGATTCTCTTTTTACCTATTGTCAGCGTAAAATGATTCATCTACTTGTTTAGGGTTGGGAATCCTTACTTGGCTTCAGCTTGTATCTCCTGTTGACGTTGAGGAGCATCAAGCCTATGGTCTGAACTTTCTGTAGCGATGAGGAATAAATTGAGCTGTTATCCTTTTGCCTATCTTTTATTTTGGGTTGGAAGGTTGTTCTTTAAAATAAACATGACAGAATTTCAGACCTTGAGTTAGTATCAATGTGTGGACTGATAGTTTGCTGTAATTAATTTCAAAATAAATTTACGAGAAGAAAGAAAAAAAAGTAAATTTTGTGATCAGTGGTGTTGTCAGCTTTCAGTTCCTTCTGCTGGAAACGAAAGCTATAAGTAACATTTCTGGAAAGAATATTCAATATTTGTTGCCTCAATGGTAGTACAAGGGACAAAGACAATTTATGTATGGAAATTTTAGCTGAATACTGATGCCAGTCTTACCTTAAGAAGCACAAATTATCTTTCCCCCCACCCCCTCTATTCTTGGAGACTAGTAAACTTCATGCATGAGTTTTTCAGTAATTCATAGGACAGGGTTGTTGAATTATTTTAAGATTTATTAGGAAAATAATAACACTTTTTTAGCATTCTGTTGCCTTTCTTCAGTCAGTGAATTCATTAGTCCCATAAACAAATGTCCTTTAGCTGTGATCTTGCACTTGCTCTTGTTTACTCATGTCAACTCATTTCTCTCGGCTATATGCCAGTACGAGTATTCTGCTTACTAAAAGATGCTTATGAACAGGGTACTTGGGTGGTAAAGTGGCTATGCTGGCCGGTGCTTTTTGTCTAAAAATATTTTTATCTGTAACATTGAGAGTCTAGAAAGTTCTTTCATGAACCTGGATGCTTCTCTTGACACGCCTTTGCTGACATGCATGTATGCACAACGGTCAAAAACGATCAAAATCTGACACAAAGGAATTGCAAGGCACAAAATTGTAGATTCAATGTAAATGAGTAAACTGTGTTCCTGTTATTCGTAATGGAAAGATGAACAATCAAACTTGCCTTTTGTCAGTGATTGGCACAAACTTGACTCGTTATTCTGACAAGAACTCACCGTGTCAGTCAATGGGAAGAGATGTATGGAAGTTGATTGAAATTGATTGTAAATGCCAGCTCCTTGACAGAATGATGTGCTAGGGCCACAGTCAGTCACTTTGGGGTAGATAGTAGTAATTGTTGAGGCTTTCCGAAGAGCTGCACCGCAGGTGTTAATTTCTCCGTGCTTTTCCTATTTAGCTCTGATAGAATCATCAGTTGTAATTTGCTGTCTCTAGGGATTATTGAATAGCTGGATTATTGAACAGCTTCCTGTCTTAGCTGAGGGTTAACGAACAAAGTAGCTCTAATGTCTGATATGTTAAGGGTTTTAAAAATGGGGCGGTTCTGTTTTGATCCCTGCCATGTTGTGTTAGCCATCCAACTAATATTTGACAAAAGACATAATTTTGTTTAATATGTCATCCCTTTTCAGAGTTGTGCATTAACTTGCTTGCTGGTGTGTCCATTCTTTTGTTAAAAGCAGTCATGTCAGGAGAATAGACAGAAAGAAAAAGGAAATTTCTCTAATTCGTCTTCTCCCCAAAATGGTTACCGGGATTCCTAATTTAAACAAAGCTTCCTGATCTGAAGTTTTCCTCATAAGTGAGATCACAACAACTCAGGCATAAAAACTAGGGCAGCTTTAGAAAAATGAAGAAAACTAGGATACCGAAAGGAAGAAGCCTGGTTTTAAATGCATTGTTGATGATGGGAACTGAGTTGTTCTGAAAATCTTGTGCGCGCTTTTTTTTTTTTTTTAAATAAATGAGCATTTTCAAGAGTGTAAGTTTAAACAAAAGTCCTTAGAAGCAAATTTACATCTGAAAGTTTATGAAGATTGATCTAGGAGTCCTTTATGTTTAAAATTTGGGAATCAAACTGGCTATGACAGTTGCTGCTGTGGAATACTCGTGTTGCTATCGCCCATAAGGGGTACACGCATGCTCCTGTAAGTGCTTGGCTCCCTTACCTTGGTATTGAGGAGAGAAATTGAGGTAAAACAGTCAATAGATGGTCTGTGACTTCTTTTTTTTTTTAAGAACCAAGTACTTTGAACACTTTCACTGTGCGTGTGCCTTGACTCAGGAAACTTTTAAGGCTTTGTTCAGATTGCAACATAGGATTCGTACCTTTTAGCTCTCCTTTCAGTGCCGTAGGTCAGACTGTTATTGGTCAAGTGCAGAGAGTGCTGAAACACCACAACCAAAAGTCATTTTATTAGTGTTTAGCATTGATCTTGCTAGTAATGCAGAGTGCCTTTATGACGGATACTTGATTTGTGTAAGAACATAATAATCCAACTGTTCTCTTTAATTAATGGATTTACTATCCTCCGCTGGACTTGAAATTTAGACAGCTAGTTCCAAGAGGACTGTGGTAGTTATGGTCATACTTGACTGAGCTGTATGCTACTGTGGCCTTGCTGGATGTTACCTTCTTCATGGTGGCAGTAGTCCTAAACTAAGCTAGGTGTCTCTGCCTTGAAATGAATGAGGAGTGCTCACGTGTCCTAGTCTGTTGATTCGGTTGTGGAGCTGGTTATCTTTAGCAGAAGGATCAAAACTTCAGACAGGAATTTTTTAGTAGGAGCTTTCGGTTTCCTGGGAAATCTGCTTATTTCATGTGTGTTTTAAGACTATTTTTCTGAAATAGATTTTTACAGTTTTTTTTGATTCAGTTGGTCATTTGCTGCATCTAATCCAGTTTTGCAGTGCTCCAGCAAGTTCAAGAGTTCACCTTTGTGCCCACAAAAAATCTGAAGGTTTAATTGAAATCTGTGCTTATATTATTCTCTTGATGAGTCACGAAGACCTCTAGTAACACAAATACTGTAACTAATCTACAAAATGTCAGTAATGAAAATATTTTCTATCGAATACTAATGAATTTTGTCCAGTATGTGTTGTCTTATGCTCTTATTCCTCCTCTTTAGTTTAGGTAAAGGTGCTACTTGCTCTTAAAATGAATTTATTGTTAGCTACATTGTTTGTAGTTATGTATAATACTGACTTCTGATGAAAGCAAAATGCATCATATTCTTAACGTATCCGTATGTTTTCAGTGCATGTGAATACTGGTCTTACTTCTGTGTTATACTTTTGTATTTGTTTACTATTTAAATACCGATGTAGTTTGTTTATTTTTAATCTCCCTCCTTCTCCTCAAATTACAGCAAAGTGTATCTATGGAGGCAAAGTGCTAGCAGAAGGTCAGCGAGTATTAACCAAGAGCTGCCGGGAATGTCGAGTAAGTTTCAGTTCTATAAACTTTTCCTGATTTTAAATGTATGTGTGGTGTTCAGAAGTGACAATGATAAGTTAGTGCATTTCTTTAGGCTTCCTTCATGCAAATGTGACATCTGTTATCTTGAAAAGGTGACCTTGAAGTCAGCGAAAGCAACAAATATGAAAACAAGGCGGGAACAGGACCCTCGCAGGGTAAAAAACATGGGCAAAATGACTTGGAGGGATGTTTTCTCTTTTACCTCCTGCTTTTGTGAGCTCTAGAAAAAGGCAGCAGCATCTTGAGCCAGTTACTAATTTCAGCCAAATTGCTACAATTTGAAGCAACCTGGCTTATATTGTTTGAGTTACTCTAGATTTACCCTAGTATTATTTAAACTATACGTAGCCCAGCTAGTAATTGAGGTAAATTACTAAGTATTGGACTGGACTGGAGTCTGTCTTGGCAAGTTCATAACACTTAGTCAACTACGTTCAGTATTTAATAACATGGGTAAATGGAGGCTGTGTTAGACAGGAACATTCAGGGAGCGTTAGTGAAATGAGTGCTACATGGTGTGTAAGTGTGGCAGAAACCAGTTGTCAAGACTAGCCTTAGAAGAAGAGAGTAGTAGTAGATGATTATAAAAGGCCTGTTGCTCTGCTGAGACATATATTTGCTGTGAGTATGCGTGTGTTTTAAATATGATTTATCACTTCAGAAAGGCACAGCTATTTTAAACACATTTGCTCTCATGTAATTTTCAAGTATTTTTGTTTTTACATCGTGTTGAACTTGTGGAGGGGGAAGGGTGTTAAAGGGGAGGCTTAGAAATGTTAATGACAGATCAGTATGCTAGAACAATTATAAAAAACATTTGGAAAAGATTGCAATGATCTGGTTATTGTTGTGCTTGTGGCTGAGTGTACAGAGTAGCAATTTTATGTTCACTAATGGAAATGGACAATAACTGGTTGCAGATGTTGTGAAAGTAGCTTGTTATGCAGAATTACTTTGCTGCTGTTAGTGTTTAGCTGTATAGGGGTGCTCAACAATGTAGGTACAAATACGTGGGCAAGGTCATTGCCTTGAAGATAGACTAAGGCGCCTGTTATTTATAATATGACATAGAATGTTTATTTAGGAAGGAAAGTGGCTATATGAAATAAGATGAGAACAGGAGGATTTTCACATTAAAGTGAAACCAGAGAGGGTGATCTGAATTATGTCAGTGGAACTTCTCTGCGCTATAAATAAGAGCGTTATAGTCATCATTGTGAGTATGATAACGCATTCATGAAGATTAAAAGCAAATACTGACCATCAATTATCTGTCATATTAGAAATGACTAAAATAATGATGAAAAGAGCTTTTGCATTTTACTTACTGTTAAGGGAAATTGATACGGCAATGCTAATTGCAGTAACGTTGCAGTTTGTATTATTTACATCTTAGTGGAGAGTATTGGTAAGTGTTTGAAACAGCATATGTGAATGCAATACAGTGGAAAAAAAATGAGTCCATGTTGGGGGCGGTGGGAGGAGGCATTTCCACAGCTGTATTTCAAGAAGACATTAAATCTCACTGGGAAAGCTTGTCCTTCTGACTGGGGAGGGTTTATAAGTGGGTGCTTACCTCTGCTTCTGTGAGATGATGTGTCTCCAGACAGGATGTTCATTCAGTGTGTCTTCAGCATGACCTCTTAAAAGCGGCAAGCAAAACACCTACTTATTTACTGCCTCAATTAGGAATGCTTACTAGATGAAGTATGAATGGCAGTGAGTCAAACTGTGGCTGTACTCATCATTTGCTATCCCGTGTGGGCCTACTGGTGGACAAGGTGGTATATATGAATAAAGGAAGGACTTTGTGCTAGGGAAAGGGCTATAAAAAAATGTAATATGGTTTAATTTTCCAGGCTTGAAAAACAGACATCAAGTTTGAAAAGCTGTTGATCCATGAAGGAATGCAGTAGAGGGTACACATCAACTGTTAATTTATTAGTGTTGATAAAGATGACTTAAAAATCTTGGGGAGTAGCTCTTGTGTCTGTAAAGGAGGACGTAGTTGTGGGTGGGGTAACATCAAAAAGATAAAGTTAAAATTTCACATTGGAATTTTTATTTGAAGATAGTTATTTTATTCTTTGCACAGGGTACCGATCCAAGCGTAAGATACTTAACTTTTATATTTTTTCCATCTAACAAAAATAATAATAATACTGCTGGATCCAGATAGATCAAAGATTTTCTTTATCAGGATGTGAGCAGGTTTTTTTATTTCTGAAAACTAATCCAGACTAAAAATATATTTATGATGCACATCCTCTTAACTGTACGGACAGATGTTACTGATGGACAGCCATTCCCAGCTGGAATCCTGCCTGCAAACACTCTCTAGATTAATCTGCAATGACAAAATTAGTGCACAGGTGTTTCTAAGAATCACAGAATAGTTGAGGTTGGAAGGGACCTCTGGAGGTCATCTTGTTCACCTCCCCTGCTTGAGTAGGGCCACCTAGAACCGGTTGCCCAGGACCACGTCCAGACGGCTTTTGAATGTCTCCCAAGGATGGAGACTCCGCAACCTCCTGGGCAATCTGTGCCAGTGCTCGGTCACCCTCACAGTGAAAAAGTGTTTCCTGATGTTCAGAGGGAACCTCCTGTGTTTCAGTTTGTGCCCATTGCCTCTGGTCCTGTCACTGGGCACCACTGAAAAGAGCCTGGCTCTGTCCTCTTTGTACCCTACCTTTGAGTATTTATATGCATTGGTAAGATCCCTCTGAGCCTTTTCTTTGCTCTGCTAAACAGTCCCAGGTCTCTCAGTCTTTCCTCCTGTGGTAGATGGCTCTAGTATGTTACTTATCCTTGTGGCCCATGGCTGGTCTCTCTCCAGTTATTCTCTGTTTCTCTTGTACTGGGGAGGCCAGAACTGGACACACTGGACCACTCCAGGTGTGGCCTCACCAACACTGAGCAGTGGCGAGGGATCACCTCCCTTGACCTGCTGGCAATACTTTGCCTAATGCAGCCCAAGTTACTATTAGCCTTTTTTGCCGCAAGGGTACATGGCTGGCTTCTGTTCAACTTGGTGTCTGCCAGGACCCCAGGTCCTTTTCTGCAAAGCTGCTTTCTAGCAGGGTGACCCCAGCATGTGCTGGCGCGTGGGGTTGCTCCTCCCCAGGTGCAGGACTTTGCACTTCTTGTTAAACTCCTTGAGGTTCCTGTTAAACTCAGTGAGGTTCCATTTCTCCAGCCTGTTGATGTCCCTCTAAAAAATGCAAGTGAGTGTGTGCTTTAGAAAACTACACCTTTCTGCATTCAATACGTGGTTATTTTGGTTTGTGGATTTCACCAATATGGGGACATGGCTCATTACAAGTCAATGGAAAGAATTCGATAACTTTTGTTGGATTGGGAGTTTACTGCTGATCAGCTGATTTCTGGCTTAATGCCTGTGAATGACATGACGCCTATTCATAACCGGACAACGTGTTTGACAGCAAAGGGTACAAGAAGAAATTCCTCTTCATTAACGCTGGGAGCGGGCAGTCAGAGTGCGCCATACAAATGCTAGAAAGATGGACAGGGCTCCACTGACTTTTAGGAAGCTTGACTAAAAAGGTTTTCATAAAGATAAAGAACAATGTGGTTCCTAGAGTGACGGCTAAGGATGCTATTTAGAACTTTCTCTTGAAAGGCTGATCAATAACAGTTAAAACAAGAGGGGGAAAAAAACCCCAAACAAGAACAAAAAACCAAAATAACCTTATCTGAAATCTTGCTGCTATTTTCCAAAGCTGATTATCTGAGATGAGCTGTTTGTGGTTCAGATTTTCCCTGCATGTCACTGATTAAGCTTATAGCCAATTCTTTTTTTTATGTACTTAGCTTTGTAATTACAATAAATTTAATTATCTTGTCGTAAATATTTGACTCCAGATCTCATTCTTTGTGGATTGTATGTCACAGTTGGAGCTTGACCTATTTATTCCAGAAGAATGTCTTTTTGACATTCTATGACTCTATTTTGAGATTCTGTGACTACATATGTGAATTGAGTATAAAAAGTTAGTAATTTTTTCTGAGGCTGCCTGAAGCCGTAATTCTGAAGTGTGAACTGTTCTTACTTATCTCAGTGGATAAAATCTGAAATCTAATGATGATAATTCTTATAATTGGATCTGTACTAGTTTATAACAAATTGATTTTAATCCAAAGAATACTCAACATGGAAACATTTTAATTGTTTTAAAACTTAATTACAAATATGTTCGATTTGTTTTCCCAAGATGCAAATTCTGCATAAAATGGGAAACTTAGGGAAATAAAATCTTTCAGTCGTTAAATTAATGGAGTTCTCAATTTATGTTTTTTTTTAATCTCCTTATGATTCACTACAGAAGGCGTGAGCTGGGATTGAATTTGCCTTTAGCTTTTTGACTCATCCCGATCACTGATTTGACTTTCATACGATTTCTTGATTTCTTGCCATCTTTTTGACCGGATTTATTGTCAGTCAATGTTTTTTGTCCATATGTTGACATACTGTACCCTTTCTGCTGCAGTTGTCTTGTCTGAGCTTGAGTAGGCGATGAGTTATAGCCAGAGCTTTTCCAGCTGGTAGTTTGATAACGTGATAGTAAATGACAGCTCAGTGTATCTGGTTCTTTTATCACCTTTGCTGCTGCAGTTGCACAGGCAACTGTGGGGGATTTCTCCCTTTCACTTATGGAAGTGAGATCAGAAGGAGACCTAATGCCTCCATTAACTTCACTGTTCTTGTGTGGGCACTTGCCTCAGTGATGCATGCTGTACGTGATACTGTAGGGAGCTGCTTAAAAAAAAAAAGAAAAAAAACCCAAAACCAAACAACCAAAAAAACTGATGCCTGTGTGTCTTTTTTTATTTTATTTTTCCTGACAGCAACTGATGCAACTTGCTAGTAAGGACAATTGGGAAGCGAGAAAAATGGCCTGGCCCTGCTTAGCCTTAAGATTGCAATCTCAAGGGCAGTGACTAGCAGTGATTGTAGAATGGTTGGTTTTGCATTCCCTAGGTCTGCTGCACTTGTCAGTTGTAAGTCCTGTTAGCTGCCGGGCACCTTGCGCATCATTTGCACCTTGTAGACTCAGCGGGCGTTTCTGCGTCCGTAACTGCGTAGGGCAGCTTGATGCTGTGAGAGCTAATTCTGGAGCCTGAAGCGACATAGCTGAATCTGTGGCACGGCTGGTGAGGCTAATTACCAGCAAAGAGTTTTACCTGTACTGGTTCTGGCACCTGAGCTAGTCTTTTGGCATGCTGTGGCACAGTGTCTTGTAGATATGAAAGCAAGCTTCTGGCTAGCAACGGTGTCTCAATGTAGGGGTGTTTCTTCATACAGGGTAGACACGTAGATATTGTCAAGACCCTCTGTTCCAAGTCGCGTATCTGATCCTTCAGATTATAAGAGTTATGGCTTTAATAACATATTTTGTCTTTTTTTTGTTATTAGTTTTCCTCTGCTTTCTTAGCCCTAGATGTGTTTGGATCATATTTTTAAACTTTTCTCTGCAATGACGATAGCTAGAAAATGTAATTTACTTCTTTCAGGAAAGCAGAAATTCTCATTCCATCTTTTCGTTCCACCATCTGAGGCATCATGAAAAATGTTTTGGGAGGAGTGGGGACTAGATTCATATTAAAAAGGTGTATTGGCAGTATAGCAGGCTGCCCGCTTTCTTAGTGGAGTTTCGCTGCCCGCTTTCTTAGTGGAATTTCACAGCCTTTTAGAAAATGGGATTACTCAGGTGTGGACAGGCCTGTGGGAGAGTTATTGTAGCTCCTACTGAGCAAAAAGCCTGGTGGTTAATCTCTGCTCCACTTGCCAGTTCGCAGAGATGGCATAGCTGCAGAAGGGATGCTGAAGTGGTATGGGGAAGGCTGGAGGGGGATAAGGGAAAAGAGGAAGCTATTTTGGGGCAAGATGTTAAGAAATAACTAACTGAAGAGCAGGATGGCTGTTTGGTCTGGAGACTTGGTGAAGCTAATTTCCTGGATGGGAAGAAAACGGAGTAAAATCTGGTGTAAAATCTCCCCAGAAAGGCTCTGTCTCTATTATTTTAGAAAATTTCTACCAGCAAATAGACCTCCTATGCACAGTTTTACTCTAAATCTAGGAGAAATCAAAATCATGGAAATATCTTGACCTTAATTTACATTTTATACAGCAGTTTCTATATGGATACCTCAAGATGGGATTTCTGCTTTGCCATACCTTTGAAGGACCTGATTTTTGGAAATTAGGTGATCAGTAATTCTAAAGAACAGACACTTTTAATTGGACACAGCAGAACAACGCATGACACTTGAAAGTGTTGGTCTTCTATCTGCTATGTTTGTTTGAGTTGAATAACTTATCAGTGAGTTATGTAGAATATGAAATAAGAGGAGTAAAAAAAGAGGAGTAAAACTTGGACTTGCATAAACCAGGAAGACTGTCTTTAACAAAAACCTGGAGTGAAATTCTTTAATTCCTTCAAACACTTGGAAGGAAAACAACTATACTTAGATAAAATGTATTTGGAAAAACTACTATAGAATTTTGAGCTTAAGTGCCTTTTTTTTTGTTTTGTTTTGTTTTCTTTCAACTCTGGGCATAGAAATGTCCAAGTAGATTACTTTAGTTTCGATGTTATGGTGTAAAGAATGAATTTAACTTGCTGCCTGCTAGTTTACCGGTGTTGTTACTAGAGATTACCAGAGTTACAGATTGAAAATTATGTGATCCTTGCCATTTGCACATGTTTTCATCAATGTCATTTTTTAAAATGTTGTTTATTTTCAGAATGGAGTTTTAGTAAAAGTAACAGAGACTTGTCCACCATTGAACTGCTCAGAAAAAGACCATGTTCTTCCAGAGAACCAGTGTTGCAGTGTTTGTAGAGGTAAGCCAGAGACTATGCATGTTTGGAAAGAATAAAAGTTGCTGATTCAACAGGGGGATATGCTGGAAGGAGCAATTCCTTTTTAATGAGATATTAGGTACCTCTATAAACCTGAGTCTATAATTAGCCTTCATGTAAAACCAGTCTGTGATATTCCTTTGGGTAGAAGACTTACCAGATACAAAGCTGTAATTGCTCTGAATTAGAGAGGGGGAGGGAGAAAAGGAAGAGTTGGGGGAGAAAGGACCCAGTATCTCTTTAAGAATTCCCATTAGGAAGAAGTTATGTTTGAAAAAGAGATATTTTATGTTGCTTAAACTTGCAACTGCACTGAACGTACAGGGTTTTGAAAACAGGCTTTTAAGCTCTCTATTTTAAAATCACAATAATAATGTTAAGATTCCAATATTTGGAGGTTGATTTAGATCTGAGCTCTCTCAGGACTCATTTATCAATTAAGCTGGACAAATACAGAATAAAAAAGAAAAAATAACTCTAGACCCCAGAACCCCATTTTCCCTCCTTGCAGTGGGGTGCTGAGATGCAGGTTCGTCTTGCTTGTTCCCTTTCAGCCCTGGTGAATCCTGGTTGCGTGCTGGACCGGACTGAACAAGCCATAGCTGAAATGTTAGTTGAGGAAATCCCCTTAAGTGAGGAAAATGCAGGTATCGCAAAGCTAGAGAATTTGAACAAGCTTTCTTCTTAAAGTGTGTTGTAGTCAGTGAGCTGTTGGGTGAAAGGTGTTAGAATAATCATTCCCTGTGTATGTCTGTATTGTGCCTCTGTCCCTCACCTCTACCTTGGTGCTGAGTCTCAGCTGAGCTTAAGGGGAGCCTGGTCTCTCAGTGCAGGACTTGCATGTCAGCCTTCAGTGATGCACCTCAGAAATTTCAAGCAAGAGGTGTGCCAAATGAGCATTAGACATTTCTGGGCTTAGATGGTTATTGGGGCCTGCTGGACTACTCGTCTTGCTGTGTGTAAATTCCTCTAGTGTCATTGTAGATTGCAATGAAGGGGCTCTGAATCTCTCCCTTAGCCAGTAAATATGAATGAATAAATATGCATAGTTAAATATTTACTAAGGCCTTGAACTTGCAAGCATATGCCTGTGGTTGCAGGGGCCGGCAAATTTCAGACTGCTTGCTGGATCATGGTGTAAGAATATACACATTAATTTCTTTAAACAGTTTCTAGAAACATCTGTAACTATTTAAGCAAGCAGTAAATGTTGCTTCTGTGTCCCTCAGAGGGCTCAGTGTCTTCATGGTAGTTCTTAACAGATGGCCCAGTTTGATGTAGTGCAGTACTGAAGAAATTATCTTAATTACTTAAAAGCATGAGAAATCTGAAAGCTTCAAAGTTGATGAAAGATAAGTTCTGTAATTATTCAGTTCTGTATTATTGTTCATGATAGGTACTCTTTTTAAATATCCATCCCAAAACTGGTTTTATGATTTATAAAATAGCATGAATATGTATACTTATGAGATGGTCTCTAGAAGCAAAGGAAGGAACTGTACTTTGACTTCCTATGAATTCTGATACATGGTGCTTTCAAATTGATACATTAAACTTCCACTTCAGTTCTGCTTTATCTGGCTGCTAAAACAGTACCACCTCCTTTTGTATTTCATCTTTGCTTTTTAAAATTCTTTTGAAACTTATGCTTAAAGATATGATTAATTTTATCAACTTTACAAAGGCATAAATTGAGGTTAGCACTCCTAAATTGCTTTTTATATCTTGAAGTAGAATATATGCTGCTTGACACTTTTGCTTCAGTTGCACGCAACCCAAAGTGGTAGTATCTAATTTTATCGTATATAGATTGCTGGTGTTAAAAATGGATATTATTAAGAATTCCATATCATGCAAACAGGTATCCTCTGATATCGCAAGCAGGCCATAGTATCTGGTCCTGTCCTGTGCCAACATCTCCTTTACTGGGAAAGGATAGAGTGCTTCTCGGTTTTGCAATAACGACCTCTGTCAGAGACTGTATTCAGCTTTTATTGTCCAAGTAAAAGTAGCGAGGAAGAAATATTGTAGTAAATATACTCCTGAGTAATCAGAGCGTTTATGGGAAGCCTACATGGATCATTTGCACATCAAGTGCAAATTTCACATTATATGTATGATGATACTGATAATTCTTTGCATTAGCCCTCAGCTAGGCCTTTATTTAGTCAACAGGATGATTAGTAAGTGTTTACTAGTAATGTTAAATGAGAACAATAATTCTCTGTAAAGTTTATCAGTGCATACTAGTGACTGGTAGGTTCTGCTTTTGTATCAGTTTGTGCTTTCTTTAGTATCTAGTTGTGGAAACAGGAAACTTCTACTGAATTTCACGTTCTGTAGAATTATAGAATACCTTTGCTGAATTGGGCAAGGGTAGGAGGTTTTCAGCTTGTGCTTTTCTGGCTGCAGCAAGGGAATTTCCATTTAATGAAAGGATAAACGTGGAGGATCAACAGAAGGGAAAAAAAAAACACAGAGAAGTACAGAAACTTCATGATGCTGTGGTATGAGACTGTACCCTCTTCAGGGATCTCTGTAATATCTACTACAATAATAGATAAGTGCATAAAATAAAATAGGGTATGCAAGGAAAAAAATGAATCTGTGGTGTTTACGGTGATGGAAATTGTGAGTCAGCAAAGGACCGAGTTGAATACTGTAATGTACACAGCTGGTGGGCTTCCTAGATAGTCATTATTGTTTGTAAATGGTTAGAAAACTAAAGACAGCAAATAATACCTTTTCTTCCTCAGGTTTGCTACATGAGTTTATAGTATAGCAAAAGCTAATATATTGCTAAAAGCCAATTTCTAGATTTCAGTAAAATGATTGTATAAGGTGTATGGCAAGGCAGTACAAGGAAGAACCCTGCTGTACAATGACAGCTTATTCTTGTGCTTTGATGTACCTGAATGCAAAAATGGGCCTCATCAGATCTGTATATAGGATCTATCCTGAATGTTATGTAGAGTATACCTAGTTTTGCCCTTCATCTGTGTGCTTTAATATACATGTCTGCTTACACTGTGTGGCTACTTTAAACTTTTCCGGAGGACAATG